GGCGGTGGCAGAGCCGGCGGTGGCAGAGCCGGCGGTGGCAGAGCCGGCGGGCGGCGTTTCCTGCCGGGGCACCTCGGGGCTGGGCGGGAGCACCGGCGCGAAGGGGCTCATTTACCGTCCCGGCGCTGTGCCCGGTACCCCTGCACGCCCCAGCGCGTTTTTTTTCCAGAGAGGCTGCGCTGCGCCGGTGGTGACTGGTGGAGCTTTGTGTGCCCCCGCGGTTTCCCCGAGAGAGGCATGGCTCGGGAGAGGCTGGGGAGCCAGCCGGGGATGCGCGAGGGATGTAGTGTGTGGCATGCAGACAATGTCAGCCCGGGTGAGTCCCCACCCTGTGGAGCCGCAGGCAGCGGGTCCCCGCGCAGGCACCGCCGAGCCGAGCGCTCCCACCGCGGAACAAAACGCGCAAATCCTCGATCCTGGTGCGAGAAGGAAACATTTGTTTCCACTGCTCGTTACAACGTTTTGTTTTTATCACAAAAACCCGAACACGGAAACATCAAAGCTGAAGTCTTTTGAGCGCTTTAGCCGCACGGCTTGCTGAGGGCAGGCTGGTTTGTGAGGAGCCTCACAAGCAGGGCTGGTGTCTGCATTGGGTTTCATGAAGGTGGGAGAGTGGGATATTATTTTTTCTTCATGGGGAAAATCACTGATGGTGGGAGGGAAAGGAGGAGTGTCTGTATACGTGAGTGTCACATGACCTTGTAAAATTCATACAGCTATACTTATTTTTCTCCTGCATTAATGCCGATCGTCTTAAGAAGCCAATGACTTACCTGTTCATTTCAGAAGGTTTTATTTCTTCTGGATTTTTTTGTCTTGTGAAGCAGAAAATAGTCACCTGTGTGGACACTGTCTGTGTGTTTTATCATGCATTTTATAATTTTTACTAGTATTTTAAGGCTTTTTATGTTTTTAGTGGGTTAGGGGTGTTTGGAAGGGAACAAACAGCGGTGTGTGTAACATAATTTCTTTTTTACTGGAAGAGTACAGATACGCTTCATCTGGCACAAGTATAGTGTTTCATATGGCTAATACCTTTACATTGCCATTCACGTGGTAGATGAATGTTTTGTGAGATTGTAGAATCACACCTACTCCATTTTGAACAAATTGCCTCTCTTCCCCTCTCTCTTCCCCCTCACTTCACTGTTCTCCAGACATCAGCTTGTAAAACACCTTTGAGCAGAAAAATTAATTTATGTTTATTGATGAACAAATTTAGATGTTTACTGAAACAGTATGTCTAAACCAGCAAATTTTCCAGTTTTATTGTCTTAAATCAGCTTTTCTCTGCTGAGAAGTTTCCTATTAAAATAGAGGAACAGAAAAATTACTTCCTAATCATCTCGAAGAACAAAAGTATAGGTCATAATCTAAGGAATACTTTACATATGAGTTATATAAAGATCTAGACACATCCGTATTTAATACGCTGATATCCTTCTTGGGTGAGTGTGGTGGAGAGTGGAACATGGACTGTTTTTCTGCACCTAAGTTAGTATGTGGTTTTTCATATCACTGGGTGATGCTCATATTACCTTACAGAAATCCATGTTACAGAAGCTTTTTGCTTTTATAGAACAAGAAGGTAAGTGGCACTCAGGAATTTATTTATTGCCCTCCTGCAGATCTCGTTTTCAGATAGATATTTTCCTAAAATGGCTTCGTTTTAAAACTCATATGACACACAATGAAGTGTCCATCTACCACTGCTTCTCTGACTCAGCATGTGGTGACAGAGAAAAGTATTGCTAAGAGATAAACCACAGTTCAAGAAAGCAGTATAGTGTACCAGCTGTTAGTCTCTTGAAAGAATATAAAAAACAATGAAAAAAGGGACACTGACAAATTTTATATGATCTTCAATCTGCCTTCCTTGCATAGTGTCTTGAGACAGGTTTGAATTTAAAATAGTTTTTTTACGGAGGAGCAGTGCATTGATACAAACTGTTTTGAACATCCTGTGTGTTGCAGCCTGTTCCTTTCTTAGGATGGTAAGCCATGGTGTGGGGAACACCTGTTGGTTTAAAGGAGTGTATGAGATTACTGGGATACCTTTTGTAGGCAATGGTTGATGATTGATTTTAAGAGGCTTTATTTTTCAAAAATAAAATGACTTCTCATAGTTATTTCAGTTGTTGTCTTCTTAGCTCTTCCAGTAGGAAGGAACAGTTTGCTCCCCAAAGAAAAGCTCCTAGTAGAGCTTTTTTTTTTCCAGGGATATGGGTAGGCTTCATCTTGATGCGAATTCATTTGTTACACTTTTCTGCTTTAAGAGCAGGCATCATTAGCCCAGGAAAGGTAGTCAATTCATTCTATGTGATCGTAGTCTTAGTGTCTGAACTTGGTTATAGACTCCTGGTAAAATTGCTCCCCCAAACTAAAACTGTGCGAATTTATACTTCGTTTTCTGAAATCCAGTTGGTCATTGCAAAAGAAAAAATGTTTTCAGAAGTGTCCAAAAGACTTAATTACTAACCTTACTGAAATTGTAAAGGACAAATTTGCATCATCTGCTTGTAAAATTGGGTTTTGAAGACTGTATCACTGAATAGTGTTAGAAGGGCAAATGAATATCTATCAAGCATTGATGATAAAATAGTCCTGTCTCGAGTTCTAATTCTGACATTACCTTTGCAATTAAATCCCTTCAATATGTGTAATTAAATTGCCTGCTAAGTGCAACATTAAAAGTTGAGTGAGTTACTGCATACTGTGAAAAGTGCTACCTTAACAGCATAGAATTCATAACGCAGTTTTTTGTGTGGAATTACATTCTTCTTGAAACTTATAGATGATGCTAAGACAGTTTTGCCCAACTACTACTTCAGTCAGTGATGAGAAAACCCCAGTGCTTTTTTGATGTCTGTGGATTTCTTTTAAATAGTTCCATTGATTATTAAGGTGAAATATCTCTGTCTCAAATACTGATTTGATTGGTATTGGAAAAGTGCACTGAAACTGTGTTTGATAGATTTTTCTCTCTGTCACGGGGCTTGTAGATTTGTAGTGGTAACTCTTATGTTTAACTATAGAGTTGCTGAATTGATCCTTGTGATACACCATTAGTGAAAAGGCATCTCTTCGTGATGAAGTGTCACTTATAGACTTTGACTTGCTAGAGAAGACAGCATTAGCAAAACAAATACACAGGTTCTTTGAAAGAAGTAAAGTTGCTCTATATGTTGTTTGTATACAGTCATTAATCTCTGTACAGATGCGTTTGCTATGCCTGGAATAGCTGCAAGTCCCTGCTTGCACCTCTGACAGTGCTGACCCAGTCTCAAGAACTGTATGTTCTACTCTGTTGTTTGTTTTTTTTTCTTGTAGGTCCCTTAATGAGATGGTTTTAGTTAGAGCAGAAGAGAAGCAGTTGAGATCAGAGACAACTTTTTTCCCCTTTTTTCTTACGTAGCTTTAGAGATCACTGAACTATTGTGGATTAAAAACACTCAGAAAGAGAAGAGACTGGTGAGATGAAATCCATGTAAGTTCTGTGATCCAGTTTGCAGCATAATCCACAGCATCCAAATTGGTGAAATCGAAGGGGTGATGAGTGGGGAGCTGCTGAGAGAAGAGAAGCTACATCCTTATATACATCTTCCTAGATCATGATTATATAGTTTTGCAAAGTTAAAGGTTCTTTTACTTTTGGGATGTAAAAGACATTTTTAAAAATAAAGACAAACTCCCTTCTAGGTTGCTGTTTGCATCTTATGAGTAGTAAAAGGCATCTCTCCAGAGTTTCAGAATCTGTTGTAGGAAATACTTTGCCCCGTGATCTTGCAAATAATTTCATTTTTATATCTAGATGATTAATGTTATCTATACTTATTCAGACAAGCTGCTTTACAAAACTGGGTTGGGTTCTAGCTCACTATCGAAAAAAGTAAGTTTTCATGTTCTCAATCATGTAATGAATGGGACTGATTTTTGCAGCTTAATGATGATCTTCTGAAGGTGAGATTGGCATGGGAGGCTTATTAGTTTTGCAGAAATACTGATCTTGAATGCTTATTTCCTTAATTTTAATCCCATGGGGTTTTTTCCGCTTTGTATCTGAGTTTATTACTTGTTACTCTTTCATAGTTTAGAACAAGAAACATTGTATTAGGTGGGAAGAGAAGTACTCTCTGACAAATGTGAAGCCATTTCATTATGGTTATAACAGTGTTCCCTCAGGTTTTCTCACATATTGTTGGCTGGGAATACACAAAGATCTGAAGTTCTTAAATTTGTGTTAGCTCTCAGGCTGTGTCTACAAGAACAAGGTGCCCTATGTGCAGTGCACCTTCCTTTAGAAGCAAGGACAGTGCTCACAGCCCTGGGAGGTTTCTCACAATTGTTCTATGGGAGGTACATTACTTACGGATTGTGTCTGGACTTAAAGCCTCAGTCTTTGGTATTGCACTGTTGGCTATTTCTAGGCAGTTTCTTGCTTGTGTATGATTGTTTTTTATTTCATCCTGACTTGCCTAGTTCATGCCTAGTATAGTGATGAGGCATCTTGCATAGGATTTTTGATTCTATGCCAGAAGCCAAGCATTCCAAGCTATCTTTATTTATAGAATCATAGAATCGTTTAGGTTGGAAAAGACCTCTAATATCATAGAGTCCAACTGTTAACCTAGCACTGCCAAGTCCATCACTTAACCATGCTTGAGTTTATTTTGTATATACAAAGGTCACTGGAATAAAATAGTATCTAGTTGTAAGAAAAATACACGCAAAACCCAAGCACACATACCAAACATTTACTTGTTCTTTCCTTAGTAATTTTGCTTCCTGCTCTTCTCTCAGATAGATCTGTGATCTTGTTGCTCCATTTAAAATTGAGTTAATCATTGTTGGAATCTGTTTTAATATACTATTGCAAGTTTGGACTTCCCAGGTGTCTG